TTTAATTCCCACCTTTTATCTTTGGCAATTGTTGCTCGGCAAGTTTCTATATGGTGGGTTATGAACTGATCACACACATGACGAGTTTCGAAATCTAACTGGTCCCAGGCGGGTAATGGAATCTCTTGATCTTCATTTACCCACATTTCTCGGCACAAGTTGACTAGAGGCAAAATCATGGCTTTTGAATGGAGACCAAAAACAGCTAGAAGTAGAAGACCCTGCCCCTGATTTAAAGCAACGTCTAGGAAAGCCAACTCCACATATATTCCTGTCAAATTGTCCATAACTAAACGCCAGGTACACACTGCCATACCCTAAAACAATTGAAACAAATAATAATAAAATGGTGTTCTTATATTACAACATTAAAAATTGAGATTAGATTTCAAGGGTTTAGGGGGCTTAACTACTTACCAAAAACATTGAACAACACATCATCATTAGGGCTACTTGATGGCGTTGTACCTGTCTATCTTCTTCTTCTTCTGCTAATTGTTTGTGATAATCTTGAATCAGTCTGTTGCAGTCAGCTCTACGAACAGCACTACACTCAAATCTTGACGGACATAAGTCGCCTGGGCAGGGAGGCAACCTAAAGAAAATAGGGAAAAGTTAATGAGCAAGTCAAGGTGTAAATGACAAATAGGCATATTTCTCCCCAAAAAATGACTCATACCGAGAGGTGCTGCCCCCAACATTTTGAAGTATTCGTCCATGTTCTGTGCTAATATCCTCTATATCAACAACTTGATTGCTGCTGTTAATACTATTGTCTGGGCCTGCTGAAAAAAAAATTAGGGCAAAGATTTTAAAAGTAGAACTTTAGTAAAACACATGAGAGATTACAGGAAAAGAACAATGAGCAAACCAACCAGGTGAAAATCTTTCCGTGTTCACAGCGCTGCTGGTAGAATCCTGATTGTCATTAACATCTTGAACAAGAAGAAGATACCGAGCAAATCGACGCTGATAGCGTTGATGATATGCCAAACAAAAAACAATACCTAGAAATAAAATGTGTCTTTAGCTCACTTCTTAAAAGTTATTTTACAACAAGCCTTTCCTCTGTGGAGCTCTAGCTCTTTGAGTATTACTTATTCACAATTTTTTGTTGAAATATTGATTGATTGGACCGAAGGGGGAGTGCGAAGAAATTATAATATAGATAACATACTCATAAAAGAAATGAAGAGAACTGCCAGTGTAACTGAAGTCTGAAGGTCACCATAAAGAGAACTGAAGTCAGGTGGACCGACTGACGATGGATCAACTGGGTCAGCCACCAACAGTAGAACCAAGACGATAAGAGTAGGTATGCTGTAGGACATATTATTTTAGTGTCATTCTGCTATTCACTGTATTCACACCAGGAGTGATTAATTTTCACATACCCCCAGGCTAGCAAAATGAAAATCAGCTGAAGTCGCATAACTAAACATAGACTCCGCGACTGAAGTAACAACAATCCAATGGCAATAAATGCAGACCACAGGCGTGAGCTAAGATCACCAATAGTATACACCGCAAAATAAAACCGTAAATGCCATATTTTATCAGAGCTCATAGACTGGCTTAATATAACTCCAATGCTAGCTATAAGCTGCAAAAAACATTACAATGTATACTTAATAGATAGATAGATAGATAGTAACATGTTAATTACTGAATACAAACCTGAGATGTTATAAGGCAAACAGTCATACGATGTGGTATTCTCTTGATTTTAGAGCAAAAGATAAAAGTTGCTAAAAGCCACACCTAAAAAGAAACAGTGTTGTAAACAAATTGTATAAAACGATTTTATTAGAATTCGGAGATGGATGAGACTTAAACTTACACTAGCTATACCACTTGCAATTGCTATGTCAAAAGCAAAATTATTTAGTTGTTTCACATAATCAGGTGGCAGCAAAGATGAAAGTGAAATCATCTTAGCAGATACAAACATTAAAGGTGCTGACACAAAAGTACAAACAACCATTGCACTTGCTATCTGAAAATACCCAAAGCCAAATAGTCAAAAATAAAACTTCAGGAAATATTTACGTAATAGAATGGGAGGGAAAACTTCCACTTACTAATTCCACTTCGACACCATACTGAGTAGCAAACACAAAAACTCCAGGAGCTGAAGGGAATGTTCCATACAGAAATCCATAGGTGCTGAGATCTTCTGTATCACTTTCATTTGCACCAGCATGAATCACAGACACAACTTCTCGGGTTATAAGTGGAAGAGCCAATCTAAACAAAAACAAAATAAGAACAAATTTAATTTGAGAACACCTTGAAATATCACACATCACACACAAAATTAAACTTACAACTTCACAGCAATAAGCAGAGCTGGTACAATCAAGGCAGCCCCTTGAAGTTTTTGAACAGTTCCCACCATACGAGAACCAAGAAGAAAAAGTGCAGTGGCAGAGAATGCATTTCCAAATACCTGTAAGTTGATGTATTTTCAAGATTTGTTTTCATCAAACTGTAAAATTTAAGTTGAAGTTAAAAAGGGAACTTACTTTTAAAATTCCATCAAGGAAGGTAGGGAGCTCATGATCAAACACTAGATTTCCGACAATGCCAAGAGCAGTCATAAATACCACGGGATTAGAAATTATTCCCTTGATGACTTGCCATATCATTCGTATCTTTTCACGGTTCCCGCCTGTTCCAGAAGCCCTCATTTCTGGAGCATCAGTAGCACTTGATGTACTGAGAGCAGATTCAGGACGACCCATCTCCATTAAAATAAAACCCAACGGGTTAAGGATTACTAAAGATATGGGTGCCATGAGGTACAAGTAACTTGGATACGCAGGGTGCGTATTCTGGTACAAGGCAACCACTGGGGAAAAAAAAAAAAATTCTGTGAATTACATATCAAACACAAAGAGAGCACAATCAAGATGTGTACACTTACAAATAGGATATCCAATAGCAAAATCATTGCTCTGTGTACAAAAGATGGCAAACAACCCTGCCTTTGGAAGGTTGATTGGTCTAGTCACCTTCAAAAGAAAGTTTTCGTTAGTTTAGGAAATACAAGATACGACTTAAAGGCAATATTTTTGTTACTATTCAGTAGAATTCTTACCACTAAAGATATTAAAGCAACCCCAAAAAAAACAACAGCTTTAGCAACAAGAATAGCAAGTAGAAATGTCCAGTTCACAGATGACAGATCCAACTTTGCAATTGAACGAAATATAAGGCATGGTAATGAAAAATTGGCTACAAAAGTGTTCAACCCTTTCGTTTCTGACGGTGGCAGTATTCCAAGTCTCCCGGCCACATAGCTAAAACAAATAATAAATCACGCTAATTAATTTTCAAAAATATGAACACCGAAAAACTTTACCTTTCCACAATCGAAGAACTTACCCACAAATTATGACAGCAAAGCATTCTACCAGAGCAGGGTAAAGGTTGTCAACTGCAATATCCTCAAGATTGGGACTAGGTATGGTAACTTCCCCATTACTCATTCTGTTGCCCTGATGGAAAAAATAAAAAAAATGAAAAGTTAGTGCTAAACACAGATGGGCATTTGCGAGCCCCGGCAACTGGGAGAGGGCCTTGAGGGGTGGTAGCTGGACGCCTCTTCGCTGCACCCCTAGCCAGACCACAACTGAATGGTACCGAATGGCACTCCAGGAATTTCATCATATAGGGCCCGGCGCGCCGGAGGAGGTGCAGGGGCGGGGAGAGGGAGGGGGCAGGGAGAGGTAGATTAGGGAATTCATGACCGGGTTGGAGTCCAAGTTCTCGCTGCTATACCAGTTTAGATCTTGGCACTGGCCTAACAAACCCGGCCTCCGGCCTGCTCAGCACACCACATTTATTCTGAAACACTATTGAAAGGGTGTGTGGTGTGCGGTGTCAAGGGGGAAGACAGGATGGGGACCGCGAGGGGGGAG